CCAGGGAGCCACTGCAGCAATAAGAGTTCTGGCTTACAGGAGCTGCTAATGGAACAAAGTTCCTTCTGTCCCTGGTGTGGATTGAGATATGGCTGGGCGGTGAGCTATTGACCCAGTACAGGATGTCTGTGGGATGGGAGGGAGATTTTCTTGGACAAGAACTTTGAGAAATTCTGCAGGAGAAAGTTCTGCAAACAACTGTATTTAATCTCGGTTTCTGCTCAGATGTGGATGCTCGTGGTTTGCAAAATTTGTTCAAGAAGGGGTCAGTCGTGTAACTCCATCCTGATGGACACCGGAGGCATCTTACTTCTTTATGTAAAGATTTGAATGGGGCAAAATAACTATCTGGTGCCAGTGGAAGTGAACTCTGAGTATTGGCTAGCCTCAGCCTATGGTAGGTTCAATAACAATACATGTGTGTATTTTATGCTCCCAGTAATAACCCAATTAGAGGCACTTTGAAAGGAGATAGTGCTTGATCTTTTTGTTGAAAAGTTGTCCAAAATGCATGAATCTAAGAGAAGAGAGAAAAGAACAAATTCTTTGGAGCTCACATCATTAATAATGTTTGGACTGAGCAAACAGACCTTGGTTCAATAGGTTCTGACTCTCCTTTATACCACTTATCGGAGGATTAGAGAAGTACAACTAAGAAATTCTGTGCACACAAACTTTTCGAGTTCCTATTTTTTTGCTTATCTTGCCACAACAGTCATTAAACTATAAAACATTTGTTAAAAGCCTATGAAGCTATTAGGACCCCTCTGGCTAAAATTACTATTGCAAAAAGAAGGCTTGCAGTATTGAGAGCTATACCCATCTGTAAGGTCCTAACCTGGAGACACTATTTATTTTTAAATCTGTCTCTTCCATGTGTGCATATCTGCAAAAAGTTGATTCCTGGGGGAGGATCCAGTTTACCTCAAACCTGTGAGTGTCAGCGGCTGAAGCTTCACTCTCCATAACTGGCCTACACGTACCAACACCAAATGTGATTTATTAAAAAATAACATCAAAGTAGTACTGCAGTATGAGAAATAATTATATAGTATAAGGAGAAGTATGGGATTAGGGTTGGGTAAGAAACTGTAGTAGTCACTGTTGAAAATCTTGGGGTAAGAAATGTGCTGAGAAGGATGTGAAAGGTAGTGGGGTGTTCTAAGTAACCATTAAGATACGTTTATACTGTACCTGTAAGAACCGAGTGAACTATAATTTAGATGCATATTTTCTGATTTTGACTAGAATGGTTGGTGAAGGAGCTCTAGTCTCTGAACTGATCAAACCTGTATTTTCCCCTCTAAAGACTGGTATGACAGACTTGTGGTCAGACCTATGTCAACTTCCTTGATAAGGCTTATATTTAAAGAAAGCAAAGTCTCTTCTAGCACAAAAAAAAATGCAAGGGAAAAAGGACTAAGGAATAGCAGAGAAGATGAAAGCAGTAAGGAGATGGGACTGGGTAGCAGGAGGGTTGTAGGAAACAGAACAGAGGAGGACAGGAATGAGTTGAAGGGTTATTTGTTAAGTGTTCTCTTTCACTTAAAAAAACCAAACCAAAACAAAGGCTTCTAGTTGGACTAGCTGTATCTGCAAGCTCTGGAGATCTGTAGTCTAATAGGTCACTCCAGAAGAAGACATACTACTTGCTTTACTTGGAATGGAGGGTAGATGGATGATGAGACGTGCATCAGTGCAGTGGCGGGGGGGGAGCAACCCTCAGCATGCTGGGAAAAATGTGAACAACTCGTAAGGATGTTGCTGTTATTTGTTCCGGTGCCTAATATTCTAGACAAAGAGGGCTGTTCTCTGTATTTCTTTGTGTGACCTTATTGTGTATTTGGATATATTTGCTGGTGACCTGGAGTTTTGGATGGGCATTGGCTGGAAAATTTTTCCTTACAGAGATTGTTTTCCTGTTTCATAATAGGAGAAATTTAACTCTTCTAAGAAAGGACAAGTGGGGCCTTATTTCTGTGATAATGCCAATAATAATAGTTACTATTTTCTTGTCCAAACATTCTTTCCACACAAATGACACTTTGTACAAAATATATTTTTTTCCAAAAATATTTAAATTCTTTTCTAAATGCAGTGGGAGTTTTGACATTGATTTATTGGTTGCGGTATCAGGCCCTTGAGGGGAAAAAGGCAGTATGATCTCCTTTGATCTTCTATTCACCTTCTTGCTCTTGTTATTTTCATTTCAGTGAAACTTTTCTGTACAAGGATGAAGTTGCTGTCCTGTCCTCAGAACCTCTGGTGGCACTCCCTCATTTTGATACATGTGAGCATAACTTCAGTTATCTTTTTTGGCACATATATACAAGTAGTTGAAGCAACTTCATGTGTGCTGACGGCAAATAGAGACAAGGATACCCCTTCTAACAGAAATGGGTGATGAAGTGGCAGATGCCAGGTTACTGTTCATATCGTAAACAATTCTGGCTAATGTTGTTTGCATTTCTGCTTGTTTATACCTTAATTGGTGAGATGAACCTGCACCACACATCTAAATTCTCATTTTCTGGTCGCCAACATCACCTTTCCCTCATGGTGTTGGCAGCAATAGGGCCAGAATCTGGCGCTGCTCACTGGGCTACATGCTAGGAGGTTTGTCTTCCCATTGAGGAGACAGTAGTATCGGCTCTCGGTGGAGACCTTCTTCTGCCCTTGCCCTGTGGCGTTGACAAGTGGAAGGGAAAGATCTGGAGCTATTGCCTGGGCCTGTGCTGTGAATGGAGGCACCCTGTATCCCTGATCCTCTGGTCTTGCAACCAGGAGAAGCTGTTTGAACTCATCCCAGCTCCTTCCCTCCCTGTGCATTTGGGTGTCTTTCTAAAAGAAACAAAGCCATGGAGAGAGGTTTTATCTTGATATTTGGGGATGACGTGGGCACCTGGGCTTTTGAGCTGTGGGGTACATGGAAGAGCTATGCCTGCCCTGTTGTGTGGGCGTGGCCTCTGGGAACAATTCAGGCTCATAGGAGAGAGAGTATGGGAAGGAGAAGAGAAGACTGGAGATGGAAAAGCATCTTAGATGTCATTTTGCCTCAGGGATAAATCTGCAAGCTTCTGCAGGATCTGGGGAAGATGGAGCTGGAAAATTATGTATTTAAAAGAGCAAATCAGTGGGCTGTTTCCTGTTTAAATTCCATAATCAGTATGGCCTGATAGGGCTTCAGTTATATACTGTGGTTGAAATGACCTGACATGTCTTCCATTCATGCGGTTTCCCCTCTGCACAGATACATGGTGCATACGTTTGACATGCTAACATAGCACAAGGTCTGTTGCTGTCCGTACAGAGCAGCTGAGATATTAGAAATAGTTATATAAATATGGCCAAAAGAGATAACAATAAATGAGCTTTCCTACTTGGTCGCTAGCAAAGAGCGATATGTCTTGCAGCCAGCCAGATGCTGGCTAAATGAACAAACCTTGCAACCTCTTGAGCTGGTGTACTACAAAGGGAGTGAGTGCCAGGACTGGGGACCATCCCTGGAGAGGCCCCGGCCTTTCCCAGGAATTCCTTCGCCTCTTGTGCATCACAGCCAATTCCAAGTGCTGCAGTAAGACAGAGTCATGCCTCAGACCTTTCCAGATCCTATAGGAAACAGCTAGTACCATGAACCACATCCATATGTTGTCAGAGCTGGCTAACCCCCCTTGTAGTCAAAACTGCAAGCTGAATAACTGAAACCTTGCATCAGATCTGGAAAACAAACCGTTCTGTTTCATACCCCATCACCATCCCCAGTATGGATAGCAGGGATAACACTTCAGCTGGCAGCGTTGGCCATGAGGTTTAACAGAATGCAGCTTATTCTTCCATGACTCTCAGTCCTGGAGTGCTGACAGCAAGGGACTAGAAGTGGGCCAAGGAAATTGATGCTGGATGTGAGTCAGGTACAAGGCTGAATTCAGCTTGGATTTAATGTTATTGAAATACCACAGGTGGTTTCTGTTAGGATTTGGCCTCATATGGCAAGCCTTAAGTCAGGTCAGCTGTTTAGTGAGATCCAGCATTGAATTCTCATGAGCATGGTGAGTTGAGTGAGATTTCAGTCACACCTGAAGCAAAAAATAGTCCCTTTCCTGTATGGGTGTGAACTTGGGACCAGAAATCACAGGGGCTGGTGCGAAGTGTACATAGACATAAGAGTGGGCTTGGGTGTACACACATTTTAGTTTTCTTTAGCTTAAATGGGATTTGTACCAATGAGCTGTAGCACAGGTCTGACATTGGGTCCTGTGACTGGAGGTTGACCCTTTACCCTGTTAATCCAAGAGTGGTTGTTTTATCAACTTCCAGTTGGTTGCAGAGGAACCTCAAGGTGTATTTTCAGAAAAGCCGTGAGAATTTTTGAGACTGTGAGTCAGAAACTGCAGCAGCTCATCAGGTCATAAGTTATGTCCATGAATACGTTGAGGCTGAGCCATGTGGGAGCCCTCCACAGCCCACCAGAGACGGGCGCTGAGATGCCTTTCATGCAGTTGGCTCTGGTTTATCCTGTGCTTTTTGGACCTTTCATTGCTTGTGGCTGTTCTGACAGTTATTGTGAAAGACCGACCAATGCAAAGAGAGGGACTTTCCAAGCTGTTCAGGGACTCAGTTTGCTATGTGTTGATCAGGGTTGGCTTTTGCTAACCTGGTTTGGTTAGAAATGCTCTGGAGAAGTGCCAGAGACTGGAGGAAGATGGAGTTACAACCATGGTTAGGTATGAGCAGACTACGGTCATACTGCCGTACTTCCAATGTGTTAGACCACAAAGCAAGGATGACTTCTGTGCTTTCCAAGACAAGGCGTATAAAAGGAGAAAAACATGTCTGTGCCCGGGTCAACCTGATGAGCCAGGAGCTCAGAGAAATCTGTTGGTGTGAGATAGACTAGAGGTGACATCACCAAACCTTGGTGCCATAAGACTCCGGAGAGTGTGTCGTGTCATGCTTGTCCGTTTTGTTTGTCATGAAATAATATTACTCCTTTTCCCCTATTTTGTCAATATAGAAAGTACACTGGTAGGCAGTTCCTTCTGATACTTTTCACTTATACTTTTGAGGTGTTAAAGAGACAGTAAGAGTTGGAATTGATAGCCTTTTGTGTAGATCTATGTATTAGAATGGCACCATTTGTCACTTAACGCAAATTCTGAGCAATCTTCCCTCGAATCACACAGACTGTAAAATACTACCAAAAAAGCTCTCTAGTGAGAAACTAGGAATTGCCAAGTGTTATATATCAAAGGTAGGTACACTGGACTTAAAGATGGAGGAAATAAAGCCTTTCCTTGTCTGTTTAGACCCTAGAGGAATCTGTAATGGCTACAGGGGCCAGGAGGTAGTACCAACCACATCCTTGATTTTTTAGGCTCAGTATTAGTAGGAACTGACCCTAGTATAAGCTTCATCTCTGCTTTGTTATGGGCCAACTCAGTCACTGGAGATTTGATCCAGTATGGTCATTAATTAGCTGGTTTACTAGCTCATTTGCATTTGTATCTATGATTTAATAATTGTGTTCTATTATTCTTGATTAGTTCAACAGCAAAAAAGTGACAGTTATTTCGGGGGGAAGCTGCCTGGCTTATTAATTTCTAATCAATAAGAAGCAGAGAGGGCTGGTTTTTTTTTTCTTTTGAGTTTCAGCAGGGCCAGTCACAAAGGTACAGGGATTTAGAGCTATTTGACTCTATTTCTAAAAGACGACTTTTCTCCTTCACACTAGTTTGATTTTTAAATATTCAGCCTGCCTTCTTCCCCCTCCTCCCCATACACAGAGTATTTGGAGGAGTCTGAATCTCAGCATCTGGTTTTTGCTATCCTTAGCCAGTAAAATGATTGAATATGGCTTCCAAAATACACAAAGTGCGCAAGAGCTGGTTTTTACCAAAAGGCTGCTTTTTGCAGAGTCATTTTTTGCTTATAACTACGTACTAGCAAAGCCTGAGGGAACTGTAAGTTGGAATTGTGGAGCCAGAGAGGTGGTCTTGTGTGTGGGGTTTGTTTTGGTTTTGTTCTTTTTTTTTTTTTTTTTAACCCCCTCAAATTTCACCTGTATTTCTGAGGTCGAATCATAAACAAAGAGTTTCTATTAAACAAAAAAGAGAAGTGCAAATCCTTATCCTCCAGCTCTGGGTTTACCCAGGTATGCAGCAATATCATTTTATCACTGAGGCATCCACTGTATTAGAAAGCCTTGTTTACACGAGCTTAAGCCCCCGGCTGACGGATAGAGCTGTTTCAATTTCCCTCAGTCATTCCCACTACGGATTGTATATTCAAGGGAAAATCCTCACCGCAATACTGGACATGCCACGCTCTTAGCCGACTGACGTTTATTAACTAATACAAAGTTGCAAATGATGTACCAACACAGCTAAACAAAAGAGCCCAGTGTTGAGCCTAAATCAAGGTCCTAAATCATAAGCCGTGGTGTGACAAACTGCACGATGTTTGCCAGTACTTTTAAAATGGGGCTTTCTTGCCAGGCTGAGAATCCATAGAGCCCGGCCAAAGAAAACAATGGGAGGGAGCCAGGGTTCTCCCAAGCCTTGGCATGAAATCCACAATAGTAGCTTTGGCCGAGGTCCATGGACTCGAGCACATGCTCCATAAGGTCACTTCAGAACACCATAATTACTTGCTATTTACTTAAGTGGGTTTTGCAGACAAAAATAATAATAATAATAATAATAAAAAAAGTGCCACCAACACAGCTTAGGGACTCTGTTACGATCCCAGACCTTTGCTGTCTCAGAGCACCCCGTCTCTGGTACCGCACGATGGAGGGGGGAAGCATGGTCCAAACAGCTAAATAATAGCAGTGACCATAAGTAATATGGCATGCTTGGGGAGTGAGAGTGGACTTTATGTCCTGGCTTGTCCTCGAACTTGTCAGCAGTGTTTGTCGCTGCCATTCAGTGGCTGTTTACTGACCTTTGGGGGTTGAATTCAGGGGTCACTGCTGAGTTCATCTAAGGCGAGCGTTTGCTTTTTCAAATATCCTCTTCTCTGCATCCTCTCCTTACTGGCAGTCCTGCCGGAGAAGTCAAGATCTGAGGAGATTGTTAGGGCTGGAAAACAGCCCCGAATCCGAAGTCTGGTTCTGAACAACTCAGAGTGGGACAGGGGACTGAAAAGCCAAGCTTATTCTGAATTTCAGAGCCTGGACTGGATGGTGCAAAAACCCCTCTGATCCAATATGTCTGGTCCTGAAGCTCACAATTCAGGATGTTTGCTAGCAGGACCCTATATGTCTCTTACCCCTAGAAATGATCCCTCCAG